GTTTGCCTGGAGCTTGGCAGCAAGTTTCTCCAAGGGTGTCCTATTTACTTGGTTTGTTTTTCCATTTGTCAGTCCAAGTGCCCTTGGGTCATGGACAGTGTGTCATCCAGCTGTGCTCCTCAGTTGGGCCTGTGTGAAGGGCCGACGCTTCCTTTGTACACGCGGCCAAGCTGGTTTCTGAGGACTCGCCCTGAGGACGTGTCCTTGGGTTGGAGATGGCAACAGGCTGAGGCTACCCAGAGAGTCAAGGAGGGGGTGTACCTGCTGTTTTCTTCCGTTCTCAAACATCTCAGGATGGAACATTTGGAAAAATTAGTATTGGTAGAAGAAGAAAGAATTTCCACTCACTCTGAGACCAACCCCTGTTAATATTTTGGTGCAGTAAGGATTGGCATCCTCACAGCAAAAGCTTTTGGCTGAGGTATTATTCTCAGACAGCTCCTGGCTCTGCAGATGGAGAGAGTACCACAAATCAAAGCATTGTCTTCTGGCAGCTACCAAATACCTATCTTTTTACTGTGAAAGATAATAGCATCCTTTTCCGATTAAGAGCAGGTGTCTGTCGTGTTTATGATCTGGCATTTGCATTTTGTTTGAATTTTTTGGAAAGAGATTCCATCGAATTGAGGGACAGGGTATTTGATATAAGTGATGACATTTGATTATATAAAACACTAAAATGCCACAACTGGTCTTCCTGTCAGTCACCTCCAATTTAGCTTTGTGTGTGTGTGTGTGTGTGTGTGTGTGTGTATGTGTGTGTGTGTGTGTGTTTTACAAGACTTCATTAGCTTTTGTTATGGCTTCAGGAGCATTAAATGACTCCTCTTTAAAGTTTATCACAGAAATAATAAAAAGGACTAACTTCAATTAGTAGTGCAGTGATCTGTGCTTACTGCCGAATTGGGAATGCTGTCTGCACAACAAGATGCCTTAATAAGTTACTTTCAAGTTGTCTTACTGAGATTTAAACTTGGGATGGAAAGGCGATAGCCTTTGTCATACATTTCTTCTGTGATTAGAAGATGAGTTGTTCTCTTGTTAGCTCGTCACCACTGGTGTATTATAGTTTATAGGCACATTAGAAGCTGGGTTTTTTCTTGTTCCATAGGAAAGCGTCTCGCAAAAATAAATTTTTATTCTCTAAGAAAATATGACTAAAATATAGTGTGCTGGGAAAAGTATTATATTAGCAAATTAGGAGAACTACGTGTTTCAGATGTATTGGGTTGTTGGAAAAGTCATGACGTATTTTGTCTATGTTTTTCAAAAGTCATTTATTTATATAAAGAACAAAGATCAATTGATGATATATTGCCCATTTTGTTTGATAACCTTTTGCCATCTTTCAGTAAGCTTCATAGTTCCTCGTTCATAGAAGGACCTGTCTTTATTTTGCAAAAAACTGAACAAGGTGCTGATTTACAGCCTCATCTGAATTGAATGTTATACCACGCAAGGAGTTTTGAAGAGAGCGAAACAAGTGGAAGTCTGACGGTGCAAGATCAGGCGAGTATGGTGGGTGTGGCAACACATCCCATCTAAGCTTCCGGAATTTTTGACGGGCGATCAAACTTGTGTGTGGTCTTGCGTTGTCACAATGGAACACAACTCCTTTACAATTAACAAGCTCTGGACATTTCTGGATGATGGATTCGTTCAAATTGTCCAACTGCTGACAGTACACATTCGAATTGATTGTTTGGTTCCTTGGTAGGAGCTCGAAAAACACAACACCTTTAAAATCCCATCATACCGAGAGTATAACCTTCCTCTGATTAATGTCTGCTTTCGATGTCGTTTGAGACGAATCATCACGTCAGGACCAAGACCATTTGCACACCACATTGTTGTAAACAATCTACTTCTCATCACCAGTTATCAGTAGCTTCAAAAAAGGATCGTTTTCCTCATGTTTAATGAGCATATTGCAGATGTTTATATGCGCCATCAAATGAACTTCTTTGAGTTCGTGCGGAACCCAAATATCAAGCTTGCTTACGTATCCCAGATTTTTAGGTGGTCGTGAATGCTTGAATGATGGATGTTCAATGTTCCTGCAATCTGTTGTGTCAAACCGTGGGTTTGACTTGATCAGTGCCTTTTATTTTGTCGTCATCAACCTTGGTGGGCCCCCCTGACTGAGGAGCATCGTTGAGATCAAAATCACCACGGAATTTCGTGAACCATCGCTGGCACTGACGTACTTGTAGAGCATTGTCACTGTAAACTTTATGCAACTTTGCACAAGCTTGATGCACGTTCTTCCCTTTATGGAAGTAAAACAGTAAAATATGTAAAAATATGCACAGTTTGGTCTTCTATCTTCAACTTGTTGTAAAATCTCCAAAACTCAACCAAATCGCTTTTTTTTTTTTAGAATGAAGCTAGAACTGTCAGCTGTCAAGTGACATAGCAATAACATAGATGCGAATGACTCTAGTACTTCCAAAAATGAACTAGTGCCATCTGTTTCAAACATGCGTCATGACTTTTCCGACCACCCAATATAACCGACTTTATCTCCTTGTCTTGCAAGCCGTGTACTATGCCAGTTAAAGGTGGTGTTGCTATTTTAACCATAGTCATCAGCACAGCAACCACACCATTTTTTATGGAGTGATGTGCCTGGTATAAGGCTGTGTTTCTATTACATTTCATACTTAAAACAACTTTAGTGAAGATGTCGTCATCATTTTGCAGATGAAGGGATGGTCTTACAGAAGATAAAGCAGCTTCCCTAGGATCATGTCAACAGTGGTGGCAGCCATGGTTTCTCTGATAGCGAAGACTGTGCTTCTCTCTGTGCCTTCCATTCCCAGTTTACAGTACAACAGAGTATAAATAAGAACTGAGCAACGATTCTTTTGTCACTACCAAGAATAATCCAAATTGACATAAGAAAGTGTATGAACATTTAGACAACTTAATCAGCACAGGAAAGAAATAAAGGCACACCCCAGCTCATCACCTCATCACCTCTGTGTAAACGTGTTGATTGTGTCTTCTGTATAGCTTCCTGGTTTTCTAGACTTTTAGGGGTGTGTGTTTGTGCGTGTGCATGTGCGAGAGTGAGAGTGAGAGCGAGAGCCAGCGAGCGAGAGAGAATATATTTAGCTTTCTAGAAATGGAATTGCTGGGCCACTTTTCGTAATCCTTTCTGCTTTTTTTTCTAAACATTTTATTGGGGAATTGGGGGAAGGGTAACAGACAAGTTGCTGTCCTTTTGTTCTTCAGTCTAGTTGTGGAGGATGTTGCTTCACTGGCCCATGTTGGTATTATCATTGTGCTCTTCCTGGGTGAGGCAGATCAATCCCCGGCTTCTGGACGGCCGCTCACTGCGGCTGCTGGCTACACACGGCAGCCCAGCTCCAGGTTGAGCTGTTTTTCAGCATCTTAGCTATGGAGGGCAGTGTCACTGGCCCTCATATGTGGGATCCGAACGGGGGCCCTCTGGCATCCCAGCCAGTTCTTAACCAACGTGCCACTCGGACGGCCCACTCCTTTCTGCTTTTGCTTGAACTGTTATATCATCTATAAATTCAGATATGTTTGACTCTGTATTCTATCTGCTATTCCATTTGTTTATTTTTTTCTCTTTTTCTCTCCTTAGTCCCAAACTGTTCTTAATTCTGATAAGGCACCTCCACATGGCTTTTTGTTTTCATAATTTTCCTGAATTTTCTTGGTTTGTGTTTTAAGATTATAACTGTAGACTCATGTGGTCAAAGCTGACTCATTCCACAAAAATAAAATAAATACAAATCCTGTTAATATTTTAATTGGGAATGCATGGTAATTATATATTATTTCATGGGGGAGTTGATACCTTTAAAATAGTTAATTCTAATTAACAAAACAATATATATCCAAGAATATCTATACAGAGGGTGCCAAAAAATGTATACACATTTTAAGAAAGGCAAAAACTGTGTTAATTGTAATACTCAATATATACTGATAACAAAAGATGAATACAAGTCACATTTGACTTCTGCAATTACAAGAGGTGCTCAAAGTGGTAACCTTCTGCGTCCAGACACTTCTGATTACAGTGAACTACTGGTTGAGCAACGTTGACCAAAGTGTCCACTTGTATACATTTTTTCGGCACCCCAGTGTATAACTTCCCTTTTACTTATGCTTTTTTGTTTGTCACTTTTTAGAGTTTTAAAGTTTAAATATCATGTAAGGTCAATACATTTATTAAGTGTTTCCAAGGTACTTGACCTTTTTGATTACTATTGTCATCTTTTTCTCGTATTTTTAGTCTGGCTATAGTTTATATATAGGAAAGAAATTATTTTATTAAAGTAACTTTTATAACCTTCATGAATTACCTTAGTTTTATAGTAATTCATGTTATTCTTTTGGGCTTTCTGGTTGTGCCATTTCATCCTATGCAAATAATGATAATTTTGCTTCCTTTCTGTATTTATACCATATATTTACTTGTCTGTTTAGTTGCACTGGCTAGCACTTCCAGATTCATGTGAAATAATAGGGTGTTAATGAGTTTCTATGTGTATACGCTAGACTACATACTAATGTTTGGGTGTAAAGATCTCAAGGTCTACCATAAACACATGTGATTATCACATTTATATTTTCTGAAACTGATAACGAAAATATAAATTAATACCAAAAATACTTGGGTGAGGTAAGAGACGAGGACTAGAGTTTATGAGGAGCAAATAATGGGAAAAATTAATGGAAGAAAATGAAAGTGGCTCCTTATTGATGGGCTGCACTTGATGCTGTGTTGCTACCTGTTGGTTCAGCTAGTGCTTCATCGTGTTAAACATCAGGCCCAGTGTCATATCTGACAGGTACTACGAAGATAAGGAGGATAACCCCCTTTCTTGAGGTACCTGTGACATAGGGGGTGTCTGTAAATGTTGTGAAAAGATAAATGAGGGGAAAATTCTTCGTGATTGCAGTAGAAGGCTGGATATTACACATGTGTCATAGAGGCACAAATTGTCGTAGGCTTTTACAAGATGGCCCTTTGTCCACCTTCACGGATGCATGCCCTGCAAGCAGAACAGTGCCTGGCACAGAGTAGGTCCTCAGGTATGTTTTGTGAAGGATAGAAATCACACTGCTCGTTGCGGGTTTTGGCCAGTTCCCTGGAGAGGTGAGCTAGGCTTTGTTGGTAGACAGTGGATGGAGAGGGAGAGGCTGTTACTTGAAATGGAAGAATTTGATACAAGTGAACAGGGTTGAGGGCAGATCCGTTCTGTTTGTTATAGAATATTTGCAGGGGAGTGAGGAGTGGGAGGGGAGGGCATAGTGGGGCGGGGAGCAGGGCTTTCTAACCGGAGCAGTGTGGAGGCGGTGGTCTGGTGGCTGAGGGGCAGATCGCAGCCTTTGTATGGCTGGCTGGCTTAGGCGCTTTGTCCCACGTTTCCTACGATTTTCTATGATGTGCAAGACAGGAAAGAGGGTTGTCTAGGTGATACCCCTACATCCGTTTCCGCACTCCGGACCTGCTGTTTGACCAAATTTGGTTTAGATTTCGTTGGTTACAGAACCGTAGCTTGTGGCCAGCTTAGCTACATGGGCTCTTGGAACAGTGAGGAAGAGGTTTTAGCTTTTCCAGCCACCTTAGGCAAAGGCAGCAAGAGGCAAAGGGGTTTAGGAGTCGATGTGGAGGCATTCAGTTGCAGGGCCAGCCACAGAGCCACCCTCAAAAGCTGCTTTTGTAACTCATATTCTTTTACTCAAAGTATTGTGAACATGTTCTAACATTTTTCACAAGTGCTTTTACAGCCATTGTTAGTCATGGAGCCTTTATTTAAATGAACACTTGTGAGGGTGCTTGGTATGATGAACTGATGAAAATAACTGCTTTGGGCTTGGGGAAGGTGTTCAGAGAAGAAGAGCCAAGGTCACCTGTTTGAGCCCCAAACTCTTTACCATAATACCTCCTCCCTGGGACTCAGTTTGAGAGAGATGGACTACTTATTGTGGAGCCTCTTGAAGCTCAGTGAGAATCTTAGCAAACTGTACTTGTGACAGGAACATTTTCACTTTTAGTTCAGTGACATAGAAGGTGGCAGTGGAAATTACTATTAAGGAGATTTGACTTTGCATTCATAGCTCCCAATGTTTTGCTTTTTTTTTTTTTTAAAAAGGAAGAGAATAATATGTCCTTGAGCATTTAGAAGTGGCCTCCCTAATTAAAATACAAAATCCTTCAAGGCTTTGACTAGTGGTAGATCCTAAAGAAGAATGTCCAGGTGGGCAAGGATTTGGCACCTTAGTCTTCCCCAGAGAGAGCACCTCTTTCTATCTAGAGTCCTCTTTGCTTTTTGCAGCCACGGTTACACCCAGTCACTGGAGCTCTTTAGAAACATGGCTCAGGTGATGATATTCCTTGTCCCCTTTCCTGATTTTTAAAGCTAGGGGAAAAAAACCCCCAGCAAACTAGTCAGAGAATGTAAACAACAGAAACATTGATTTGCCATGAATGGATTTTGGTCCTTACAGCATCAGCAGAAAGGAGAAGTGAGAACCAAATTCTCTTTCGTGAAAGATACTTGGTTTCCAGCAGGGTTTACCTTCTAATTCCTGCAGCAAAAGGCTGAGGATTAAAGCAGAGACTGGGACCACCAGAGCTGTAGGTCTTCACAGCAGATCTGCCCGAGCGTGGCTAAGAGATTATTCTCCTCTCTGGAAGAGGATGTGGTCCCTTTTTAGTAAAAATGCCACTGAAATTTATTAATGTTTTATATGTTAATTTCCCATTGACTCATTAATAGATGTCAATAAATTCTTGTTTGTAAGAGGAGATTCCTAGAAACCTAGAAGGTTAACATAGAAAGGAAACTGGATATGTAGATAGCCGTTCTTCTGCGTTTCTTTCATAATTTTCCACCTTTTTAATAGTTAAGATCAATGAAGGTGGCAGCTTTTATTCATCACAGATGTTTGTAATTATTTTTCTCTAGTTTATGTGAAGTTGGCTAAAATTTTAGGCTACTTATGGGCATATTTGCAAAAGTACTTAGAAACCTAAATTTGAGACATTTGATTTTCATGGTTTCAAAACTTAATTATGTTGCCAATGTTTTGAGAATAGTATTAAGAAATTATTTTAGATAGTAGAGTTTTTCTTAGAGGCTGCTATGCTATTTCCTTTATACAAACAGGGTGACTAAGTTCACCAGTTACGTGTAAGATTGTTTCTTTTGTGTGGGGGAAAGGAACCCTCCCCCACTATTCCTTCTAAGCGGGAAGAACTATCAAAGGAATTGTATGTTTTACCGTGAAGTTTGTGAATGTGGGTACAGGGTATTTTTAGAATCCTTAATCTTTCAGTGCTTCTAAAGTGCCCATGTGCCTGGGAGTATATCTCAGTTTTGTATGAATTTTTAGCATAGAGCTGCTTAGAGGAATACCTTTGATGAACAGACTTTTGATAGGTTGTTATGCGATGCACACTGGTTATTTTTTGTCCTGTTACGTCCCAGTCTAGGGGTTTTGTAGACATTGTTCAATCCTCACACTGATTCTCTGAGGTAGGTGGTGTTATCCCCATTTTTATATTGGGTTGTCGGAAAAGTCGACGCATTTTTGCAACGAAAAACATAGAAAAAACACGACAACCCAGTAGAAGACTGAATTGAAGCCTGGTGAGGTTAAGTAACTTGCACAGTCTCTCAGGGCCTCTGGGGTGAGAGAGGCAGGAATGGCCCCCAGAACTTGACCCCGGAGTTCTGGCTGGGAATGAGGAAGTCAGGTCTCTGGGCTGTGAGGTGATGGACCATCGATTGGAGAGCACTTTGTGTAGAGGGGCTGCCAGCATTGAGGGGGAGGGGGAGCTGGGGTTTCTCTCTGTTTGGAAAATGCAAGGTTTTATTACCTGTTGTCCCCAAATGAGATGCTGTGTGCTAACGGTACCATTTATGGGAGCGTATCAGAGGAATTGTAGACCACATATGACCTACCCTATCAAAAACTACTTCAGCAGGACTTTTGTGTTGGAACTTGGAAATCTTTATAAAATGGGAATATTGATTGCTAACACCAAAGTGACTTAAAAAAATTAATGCATTTTATAGTTATTTCCTATAATGGGAAACAAAAAGGGGGAAACTTTGGTACTTGAAGAAAATGTATTGGTTACCTTATTAAGGTGGTCATATTGGGGTAGAGAGAGCATTTGTGGGTTTTGGTGATAAATACTTGGCATTTGCATACTGTTTGGAAGATTTGTTGACATTGCAAAATGGTAATCTACTTTTTACAAAGATGTGAAGCTTTAGTTCTCTAGTTTTTAAACTAAAAGTACAATGTGGAATGGTCACTAAATATGACTCCCGATATGTTAAAATATTAGCTATGTTTGAAAAAACTTACATTTTTACAAGTTGTATGTATGAATTCTCAAGGCTATTCTTCTGGATCAGGGCAAATAATTGTATTAGAAATTCCATTATATTAGAGAGTATTAGTTTTGTTACTGCTCCAGCTTTGATTTTTGAAGAGTCATAATCCTGAAAGGAAAAAGGAGAGCTTTTTACACAGGAAAATTTAAAGGTTAATAACAATTACACAATTACATATTTAAAATTTTAAAGATGTAGAAATGGAAGGCTTGCCCACGATTGCCGAGTCCTCTTGGATGGCACAACTCACCCCGGGATTGCCAGGTGTGCTTGTAGCCGTGGGTGGGACTCGGAGGCATGGGTCCTCATCTCCAGCCTCTCCACCAGCAGTCGGTCAGCTGATGGCCGTTGGCTCCAGTTCAACGCCAACAGGAATCTCCAATTTGGGGTGTGGTAAAGAAGGAAACTTAATTCAGTGCAGTCAGCTCAGTTGTGATCCAGCACTGCTGTTGAACAGCTCTGTAGTGTTACAGTTCAGTTATAATACAGCGTGGCTATGGAATAGCATGGCTGCGAGGCGGATGAGGCCCTTGGGCCAGGCCCCTCTCCAGATAGACAGCTCTGCTTGGTTCTGGTCTACTCTGGTCTGTTCCTCTCTGCTCTGCCTTGCTCTGCTGTGCTCCAGTCTGGTCTGTTTGCTTGCTTTTTCCAGACAGCCGTCTTTGGTGTTTCAGCTCCAGCCTGGGAAGCCCAGTTTTGGGTGGAAAGGGATGTTCTAGCTGTATGGGAGCGGACTTATATAGACAGAAGTCCCCACCCCTGATCCCTGATTGGTTTGTTTTCATGCAAACAAGGACTCCAGATCCTCAGTTTGATTGGTCCAAAAAGCACTGCCCTGATTGATCTGAGTGGGGCAACTCTACTCAGATGTTGATGGGGATATAGCTGTGCAGCTCCAGTTGGACAGGGAAAATCTCAGTCCTGTTGGTTGAAATATGATGCCAGGAACTCCCTTACAAGTGTTGTCTCAGAAGGCAGGAACACAGTGAAGGCAGGCAGTTCAGTGCACGCTTCTTCCTGAAACGTGGCTTACGTGAGAGGCCCCTATTTAGCAATGATTGCTAGGATCTCTTTGTAAGCCCAGTTAGCCACCAGGAGCCCTTCTTGGTAGATGTCTTCATTTTTGGGGTCAACAAATGGATGGTCCAGAGTATGTGTATTCTTTTCTGAAATGTACCTCTTTGAGTCTCGTTTTTCTTATTTGTACAATGACGAGGTTGGTTTCCACTGTTAATTTTCTGGGGTCAGGACAGAGACTGGGTGTCTGGGAGGACACACAGCGTTCTTCTTACCTCTGCTTCCTTCAACTGACACTCCATCCTATCTGGAGGTGGAAGATTGAGCAGAAGGGTGAAGTGAAGAAGCAAGTGATAGGTATGGCGGGACTTCTAACCAAGGGCATCTGAGCTCTGTGATGTGCAGGAATTTCTTGAAGGCTCTTGACCCTCTTCTGATTCCTAAGGGGAGTCGTGTTTCCTGTGATTATAATCAACATTTGGAGAGACATTTTCTAAACTCTTATCAGACAGGACCCTCAAATGATGCTGTTTTTATTTAAATTTTTGACATTTTATTTATCATTGATTTTTTGAAGTGTCTTATTAAAATACATCTGAGGATTACTGAGATCTTGGCACTCCCCTGACCCCCCCCTTAAATTTTGTCTCAGAGCCAGGTAGCTCTCGTCTCACCCCAGTCCTGCCCCTGCTCCCATCATTGCTTTGTAAAGACTATAATTCTTTGTCGTTTGTTGTAAAAAGCAGTTATCAAAGCCAAGTAATTTGGAGGCTTAAACACGAGATTCCAATGATATGCTGTTAAACAGATGCCTGTTTATGCCGATTTAGTGGCTGGGCAATAGCAGTTGTAAAATCCTGAAATAACGATAGAGCTGCAGAGGCAGAGCCTCCAGTCCCTTCCCTTGGGGTGTAAGATGCCTGTTAGCCTTTCATTCCTGGAATGTAACTATATGCAGCCAAGTATTGGATTAACTTTAAAAATTTTTTGTTACTTTTGAGATGGTCAGCGTAATGTCCTTGCTATTAATTTCCTCATAATGGTGAGCCTGTTTTTAAAACTGGGATTTCTTGGGGGCTGGCCGGGTGGCACAGTTGGTTAGGGCGTGAGCTCTGAGCAACAGGGTTGCCGGTTTGATTCCCACATGGTGCGCCCGAGCTCACCTGCTGAGCTGCCAATGGGCGACCAGATGGCTTAGCTCGTGAGAGCGCATGCTCTTAACAAGGTTGCCGGTTCGAGTCCCGCGTGGGATGGTGGGCTCTGCCCCATCCCCCCGCAACTACATTGAAAGTGGCGACTGGACTTGAATGAAGCTGATGGTCCTGGAAAAACACAATGTTCCGCTTCCCCAATTCCCCAATACTGTTCCCTTCCCCAATACCCCAATAAAAAAATAAAAAAAAAGCAACAAAAAACTGGGATTTCTCATGGAAATATTTCAGGATTTACATGGAAAACACAGATCTTCCCCAATGTGGTTAATAGTAGGAGAAACCAAGCTGCCTGGCTTTGCTGCCTTTACCTATAAGATTAAATTGCTGTGCTATCGATTATGATTTCTAAGTGACACCATGGAGAGCCATGAGACCAGAGTGAGATAGCAGGAGTGAGGCTCGCATTGACTAGTCTGAGCAGCTGAGATGTCAGCTGCTGTGTCCGTCATCTGGAAGGGCCCAGGCCGGGCTCTTGATTGCTGCTTCCGCAGGCTCAGTGTCTGGGGATCTCTTCAACTAGCAGAGACATGCTTTTCCTCGGAGAAGTTTTACAGGCAGCCATGAGCGCAGAGGGTGTCTGTGCCAGGTGCCCAGTGTGGCTATATATGGCAGGGCAGCCGTGGGAAGGCCTGCCATGCCCATAGTGGGGCACAGAGTCATCACAGGTATTCACATGGCTTCCTTCCTAGTGTTCTGAGAGTGCTCTCCGAGCAGCTCGCTGCTTTCCTTTTCCCTCCTCCGACCGACCGTGGCATTGATATTTGACAGCTGATACACAGTTTGAATATTTTTTTAAATGGAAAAAGTCACTTCGACTTGATTCATTTGCCAGTCAGTCGTGTATGTAAAATTTGTCAAGCCTGGTTAGGATGTCTGTGTGGCTTAGAGAAAGTAGATTTTAGATGAGGGAGAAGTTGGCAATTTGCTTTTTTGGTTCTGTGCTCTGCATTAATTGGCAGGAGATCTCAGGATCTGAAATTTAGTGTAGATTGTAATCCATTTTGTAAGGCATGTGTGAAGTGTGGCCTTCTGTGTGACAGGTGCTGATTAAGTTGAGTCCTATTAGGATAGATTTATCTTACATTCAGTTGTACATTCATTGGGCCTATCAAAGAAACTGGTTGGAGTTGTGCCACCACCTTCTTTTCCAAAAGGACCAAGCTGTATTGTGTCTTTGGTTTTGAGCAGCACAGACAAGAGAATTAAAGCTGTTGACAAGTTGTGTGTCTGGTTCCTTAGAAAAGTGTTCACATGGTGAAGACAGCAGTAGACAAGCACCCTGGCCAGGTGTGGGCTTCTGCCATGACATGAGTCCTTTCTGCACATGTGTGGTCATGGGCCCTAGACGTTCTCAGAGGTTTTCTGGTTGGGAGAAAGAGATGATGATAAAATCTGACTGCATATTTGCACATATATCAGTTTCATTAAGCCATGATGTTCGTGTTTGGGAAAATTTTGTGTAAATAAATTATTTGCATTTATGCTTCCATGTGTTTTGTTAAAATTGGAACACACGAGTTGACGAATAGAGACGTCTGCAGTATTATGTGCCCACCAGATTGTCGAGGTAGTGATGTTTCCACATAAATTGCCTTTTAAAGTCATTTCACATTTTAAACATTTTAAACCACTGTTGACCAATTCTACTGTGAAGTCTGGATCCAAAAGAAAAAAAAAGATGTATGTTAATTTTTAAAAACTTTTGAATAAAGATTCTGCGTTTGAATCACTAGGAGAGGGGAGGGAACATTATAATATAAAAGAGGCTGGTGGGGAAGACGTTTTGAAGCTTCATAGCAGATTGACCTGACAGTGGAGGAGGCCTGGGGGAGATGACAGGTGGAAGGAGTGGGACGCGTGAGATGGGGGTGGGATGCAAAAGAACAGCGCAGCTCTCAACACACTTTTTATAGTCCTGTCGGGAGCTAATGCTAAATCTCCGTTTTGTTATAACTGGCAAAGGTGGTTGACAAAGGACGTTGTCTGGTGCCACTGCCACTGATTCAAAAGGCTGGTGGTGACTTTGAGATACTGGGGTCATGAAAGAAGCTGAATTCTAATGGTACATTTGTTTATAAGGAGACCAGATCTTTTTTTTTAAAAAATCATTTTGCATTCAGAGCATCTGTGTCTCCTTGAATTAACTACTATCACAGAATCTAGGAGAGCACTTCGAGTCACCTCCTGCCACTCGTCAGAGAGCTTTTCCCAGTTTGAGGCATCTGCCTCCCAGTCTGACATGCACTGGTTGTGATCTTGGAAGAGACACAGACAGTGGGAACCCATGTCCACCTCTCCTCCCTGTCACAGTGGTTTCATATTTCCTTTTCTTCTCTTGGGGTGGGGTTGGGGGGCCTGGCTCTCAGCAGCTGCCACCTTTGTCTTTTCTCTGGCTTTAGCTAAAGTCACCTGCCATCTTTCCTTCCTCCCACTTGTGTCTCCGCGAGCGTGCACGCTGTGTCAGTGTGCGGGGTTGTGAGCCCTGGTGGGGTCAGTGCCCTCTCCTTCCATGGTTACCATCTGCCCTTTCGGAGGTCTTGTTGTGCTCTTGACGTTTCCCGATTTATCTGAAAGAATATAGAGAATATTTCCCACTCCGGGTCATGATTATATTTTGTGTTATATGTACAGAGACCCTCTGTGTGGAAATTCGCATTTAGTTCTAGGATATCAGTTAAGAGAACAATGCATGGATTTTTTATTTTCTTCTCTCATGTAAGCATCATAGCACTAGTGAAATCCACTGTTCAGGATGCTTCCCTAAGTTCAGGAAAAGCTGTCAGACGTGGTGTTGGGAACAGTGGAAGGTGGTGCCTGTAGGGCAGTCTCTAAGAGTCTGGCACAGAGGAGGTGTTGTCAGGGTAACTGGGGTTCTGGGACCGAGGTTCTGATGATTTTCTAGCTCCTCAGCACAATTCCTGTTATTCTTTCCCCTCTTCCCCTCTTTGCCTGCACCTTTGGGGTTTTACTTTTTAAAAAATTTTTTTATTGGGGAATTGGGAGAAGGGGAACAGAAAAGTTGCTGTTCTTTTGTTCTTCAGTCTAGTTGTGGAGAACATTGCTTCACTGGCCCAAGTTGGCACCATCATTGCACTCTTCCCGGGCGAGGCAGATCAGTCGCCGGCTTCTGGACGGCCGCTCACGGTGGCTGCTGGC